ATAACAAAATGTGCTGGTAAGGCCTATCCATCGATTTTCTGTCAAGAAGCACCTGGTGCCTTCAGTGTGAAGAGGCATAAAATTTTGAATGTTGATAGTTCCGCTTGTGAATATCTCTTGGGGATTTTTCTGAGAAATTTAATGCAGAATTGCAACTGCTGTTCTGAAAGTTAAGTTTATTATTAGAACTGCTCCCACAAAAATTACAGTTGACTGTCTCTTTTTCTTAAGCAGCTAGAGATGAGGACAGCATAAATTATACGATTTGAGCAAAGTTTGGCTTTGCTCAGTTCGTACAACTCATCTTTAAGATTTAAAAAGAGGGAGTAAATTTGTTATGAATTGGAAGAAGTTGGTCAGTTTTTTTGAAGATTTAAGGTAAAAAATCCATTTTTTTTAAGAACTAGCTAAAGGGACAAATTTTTTCTCCTATGCACTTTACATTGCGCTTCTGAAAATTGCAGAGGAGGCGAATCGTCGCAGTATGGAAGATCGAATCCGATCGGAGAAAGACAAAAAAATCAACTTATACGGTGAAACTCGAATGCATGAAGCAGCTCGCGGAAATGATTCGCGCTATCTCAAAACACTCATCGAAGTGGTTCGTGAAAATTTTCTGTATTTGCATTAGATGTAATTCGTAGTGTGTTTTACGAGCAGCAATTTTTCTGTTTGTTTTGGTCAGTTTGGCACAACGATAAGTCATCGTGGTCAGCTGCAGGGCGTTTCTGACATTTGTTTCGTCTCTTGACAAGAAAATTACCAGTTTTACAGTTCTGCTGACTGAATTACCTGGTGGGATTTCAAGTCGTTCGGTTTTGTTCTTGTCTTCTTTTGACCACTACTGTCCCTTCCTAATTTTGCGTGCGCTGGCCCATGATGAAAGACCCTAGCGACTAGAGCCCAGTTTTTTGCTAAACTTGAGCTTGCTAGTGCAATTTGCGCCACTACTTAATGTAAGCTGGGAATAGCAGCCAGTTTTAGCGATGATTTGTTCTGTGCTACACTGCTACTGTCGTAGGAAAGACGCTAAAATTTCAGTGTGCTTTAATTCAACTTTTGGCATAAAGTTGAAGCTATGCCGTCAAAATTCGTGCATGTGCTTAACTTCAGCTGCGTAGAAATGATGAAACCTTTTGATGGATTAATTTTTATGCGTTTTGTGCTGTGTAACAGCAGTACAAAACGCATATTGTTACGGGGTTGTTTGTGT